GGACCCTGAGCAGCAGAGCAGGCAGCAGAATGTAGTGAGAAGAGGTCAGATCTTCAGACAATGAGGGTTCTGCACAGGGGTGTTTGGTGGAGGGAGAGAGCAGGGGCTGCTTTCCCTCCCACGATTGGCTCTAAGCTATGTACCCTTGCAAGGGAGGGTGTGCACCTGAAGGGAGAAGTGACTTTCCTAACTGGTACAAAAGAGCTGCTATATACAGGTGACATATAAGCAGGCTGAGGCATAGAGGTTCATTGGCAGGCCCTTATTCAATATATAACTTTCGTCAAGTCACTTCACTTTTCTGAGCCCTGGGCTTGTTCATTCTGTCTTGAAATCATATAATTGGAGAGAAAAGTGCTCAATGGCTTCCTATCAGTGTTGACTGCCTCTCAAAGGGAATTTTTAAGGGATATGGAGATTATAAAGACTTGGCCCCAACTGCTTGAAGCTCATAACCTGATGGAGAAGTTGGGTGCTCACACAGTGAATATAACCCAAAGCAGAAATTAAAATTCCAGTACTGGAATTAAAAGTAAGGGATGTAGAGGAGGGAAGACATTTTCAGCTAGAGGTGATAATGATGATTGGGGTATTGCTAAGACTTCCGCTTGTACTAACAATAAGGCAATAATAGTTCTCTTCTAAGCATCAGCCTTCATGCTAGTAACTTGATCTGTGTTGCCTCTTGTCTTCCCAACACCCCTGAGAGGTGATTATCAGCATCATCATTTTACAGGTGAGGGTGGTCAGGAGAGGATATCTGGATTGCTTCACATGTAAACTGGACTTTACAGGGAGGGTAGGATTTTAAAGAGCTAAGATTCAGGAAGAGAGATTGTGAGGCAGAGGAGGAAAACAAATGTACATGCTTAGGGAATGGGCATGACTGGGGAAAACTGGAAGTTTAGGGGATAAGGAAACCACGAAAACTTAAGTGATTGAGGTTGCAGGGGCAAGAAGAACACTGGATAAGAACATTGGGGAAGAGACACTGAACGCTGAGGCTGGGAGAACAACATGGAGGCAGATACTCAGGTTCTTTCCCAGTGAGAGAGCATAAGAGACCAGGAGATGGATGGCAGCTCACATTTTCTGGTTGTGTGCCAAGCCATCTCATTTCATCCTCCCAGTATCCCCACGAGCTACCTGAGGTAAGACTCATAAAGCAGCTTGTCCATGAAGGTAGGTCTATCTGCCCAATTCTGAGTAGTACTGGTACACAAGTTAATAGACATGCAAAGTTTTGACACTTGGATTGATTTTTTTCTGGCGCATAGATAATGATTTTTTAAAAAATAAATTTGATCAATTTACAATATATATAATAAGACCAACCTTCCATGATTGCAAAATGAAAAGTCAAGTGTCCCTAAGCAAGTCCTTTTCCTTCTCTCACCTTCACTATTTCTGCACTAATGTCCCTTCTAAATTTGACCTCCTGTATTTTCTACTCTACCTTCAAGGGACATGGGTAAGGAGGTAAATACCCACACGGACATTCCCAGATATTTTCCCCCTAATATATTTGTGAGATACACCACCTGACTCTGTATTGTTGGGAAGACCTCAGCCAGCAGAAGGGAAACTGTCACCTACAGAGCTGTGATTTTTTTCCTTTGGGTGCATCTCCAAAAGAAATGGGGAAGAGAGGTCAGTGAGGCTAGGAACCTAGATGGCTGTCATGGATTTTTCCCCCATTTAGGAAATGGAGGCTTCCCAAAGTATGAAACACACACACACACACACACACACACACACACACACACACAAGCCAGGGAGAGGCTCCCACATCCCGCTTTTCTGCTTTAGGCTAGGATGAATACCACCTCTTGAAAAGATTGGCTTCTGCAATTACCACTAAATAAACAACCAATTAAAGTGTCTCCCCTGCCCCTACCCCACCCTGTCTCTTTCTCTCATGAAGCGCTTTCTCATCCCAGAGCTATGGGGCAGAGGTGGCTTTCTCTAATAACATTTGTGTTCTCTGCCTGAGAGAACACTTGATGGAAATGGACAAATCAATTAGAAAATAATAAATTATGTGGACAGGGCTGATCCATGAAAATCTGGGCTTCTCTGTGTTTTCATTCTCCTCCCATGCATTGTTTCACCTCTCACTCTGGGCCTGGGTGAGCTTGGCAATGAGGGTGAGGTTGTGGGAAGAGTCAGACATCTAGATTTATACTTGACCTCATCACTAGCTGTGTGATCTCTGAACCCCTGTTCCTTCATCTGTAAGATGGGGATAAGTGATAGGAATAGCTAAACATGTACTGAGGTTTTTCTATATGCTGGGCATTATGCTAAGTCTTTCACACTTCCTTCATCAACTTCCTTAATCCTCTGAACAACTCTAGGAGGTAGGTACTATTATCACCCTCCTTCTGTATATAAAGAAACTGGGGCACAGGAACTTAAGTAAATTGCCTGTGGTGGCCCAAACATCATGTAGAAGAGCTGGTTTCAATTCTGAGACTGTAGCTGGAGAACGAGCCATCTTACCCACTCTGCTATGTTGTTTCCAATACCAAGCAGAGATGAAATAATTTGTGAACATAGCATGAGGACTAGCATGCAGTTCTTAATAAATGTTGACTTTCTCTTTCCCTTCTCTGATGACAGAACAGGCTGATTGGATCTCCTCATGAGGCTTCCAGCCTAAAAATCTGAATGCAGACTCTTGGGGAAGAGAAGGGCTCAATAGCAAGATTTCGGGCCAATATCTGAGCTTGCCTGACTATGCCTGGAATAGTCAGTTCAACCTAGCATAGATGTAAACTCTCCTGGTCCCTCCTATATTTCTAACCCAAGTTAATCTTTTTATGAAATGCTGTAAAAATGATGGGCACATGGACGTTTGATCTCATGAGCTTTCTATGAACCTTTCTGTGACTTGGTTGGCCAGTTCACTCTAGGTCTCAGATGGATCCTATTCACTTCAGGGTAGTGGTGTAGCTTTAGGCCCACAGAAATGTCCTGTGGAGCCTTGGATAGCTGTTACTGATTCCAATGTATTGATAAGGAAACTGGGGCCTCAATCATCAGGAATTGTTGAAACTGAGACTGGGATTTAACTATTTTTGTGTTTTTCTTTCCCAATTTAAATCTAATTTCACGAATATTTACTGAGTATTCACCGGCTATCGAACTATGTGCTGAGAAGTGTGCGCACAGAAATGAATAAGGCACCTCCCCTGCCCCCAGGTGGCCACAAAAGAGTGGTAAGCATAGACAGGTGGCGTGATTAATTGAAATGGGGTGTGAGAGTGTGCACTGGTGAGGAGTGGATGCAGGTGAGGTGATTAGCAGGGAATTCTTCCTGAAGGAGTGATTCTAGAACAAATTTTGAATTTTTTCATCAGAGGACAAAATGCCAAGTCCCAGCAAAGGAAACAGTTTTAGTGAAGGCACCAATGGGATAATGCATCATGGTTGGTGCTGAAGTACTGTCTGTACACAGTGGGATGTTCAAGAGAAAGAACAGAGAGAGCTGAGGCTACAAAGTAGTCGATGTTTGGGACACCGTGTTGGGGACCTTGAGGAAGTTTTTCTTTGTGTGCTACTAGCTGGGCTCTGTAAGGACTCCCAGGAAGAGACAGCTTATGAAAAAGGAAAACACTACCAACTACCTGCTTAAACTTAGCAAGGTATGAAGGTTCTCTAAGCCTCTACTTCCTCCTCTGGAAAATTGGGATAATAATATTACCTACCTCTGTGCTATTAAGAAGACTACAGGAGATTACCTATGTAATGTTGAGCCGTATTGGAGGGTCCAAAAAATGTGAAATGATAATTATTTGTTGACTTTATCTTATCTGCTATACCAGACTGCCTGCTTGCTTGCTTATTTTTTATTCATTGATTTCACTTTGAGCCTTATTCAGAAATGATTGTCAACTGCCTACAGGATCCCCAGAATATATTATGGTGGACAAAATGGGGGCTAAAAGAAGCATAAGTTTCCTCTCTCCATTTAGAAAATGAGACATTGAATAATATGCCTGTGACTGATCCAAAGCAGAATGTGGTCCCTCACATTTGGTGTTTCTGTTCTGATGAAAGAGTCACACTCCCTAAGGGAGTTCTTATTTCTTGAGCACCTAGGATTTGGCAATCTCTTTACAAAGACCATTTACTTCTCTCTCTCTCTCTCTCTCTCTCTCTCTCTCTCTCTCGCTTACTCACTCTTGCTCTCACGCTCTCTCAACACATTTGTTCCATGTATTAAAGAGGTAATGATTGTATAGTGGGACGCTAATTCACTTTCCAGATATGTCAGTCTACAATGGCAGCAATCCCAACACAATATCCCTCTTTCATCTACTTGCAGATAAAGAAATGAGAGCTTATGCTATACATATCATCTATGAGGCAGCATGATGCCTCAGTAAATAGAGGACAGGTTTCCAAGCTAGCCAGTATTGACCTTGAACACAATTCTGTAACTTTGAGAAACTTATTTAATAACATTGAGACACAAGATGTTCATCTTGAAAACAGTATAAAAATACCTCCTTGCAAGGATGATCAGGTCCCAAACAGGCAGACTTCTAGTACAGTTTTGTATTTGCCAAATAAGTGGTGTAAAGTCATAGTAAATGAGTGTAGGAAGGAAGACACCAAGAGCAGAAGGCATGTTTTATCTTCCATGGTCTGTATTCTAGATCTTTTTCTATGTGGCCCTGTACTCAGTCAATATGGCAGAGTCCTTAGGGGGTACAAATGTTGACTAGAGATAAATCTGGGTTCAAAACTTAATCCTGCTATTTATAAGCCTAGCAACTTTGGCAAGTGTCTTAAACACACAAGAACTTAATTTTATTATCTGTAAAATGGGATCATCTTATAATTTATTGGGAAATTCAATAAGGTGATATTTATAAAGTACTTAGTAAAGTGCCTGGCACACATAGTAGCTCTTAATTATTTGGAGAATGACTATTATTTGAATAGTGCCTATTTGGAGAATGATAACAGCCAAGGTTCTTTGTCTGTTTCAGAGCCTACTTGGATGTTAATGAGCTGAAGAACATTCTTAGATTGGACGGATCAACACATCTCAATATTTTCTTTGCAAATTCCTCAGAGGAGGAGTTGGCAGGAGTAGCAACTTGGCCATGGGACAAGGAGGCCCTAATGCACTTAGGTGAGTCTTAGAAACTCCCTCAGGAGGAAATTGCAATAGGACAATATACATTTAGAAGTGATGATGATCATTATTGTGATCATGATGGTGGTGGTGGTGGTGGTGGAGATGGTGAACAACCCATGTATTTATTATTTTTTAATTTTAAAAAACTCTTTAGCATTCCTTATGTCATTCTGACCACCAAGCAATATTCTGAAGGAAATAGCACAGTATTATTAATCATGTTTTACCAATAAGGAAACTGAGACCCAGAGAGGGAATGGAGCTTAACCAAGATCACACACAAGTCAGTGACAGGGTCACAACTGGAATTCAGTTTTCCAACTCTGTCCATTGATTGCTTTCTCCTTGTGGCCTCTGTCTCCTAGTTCATGCAAATATCTCTCAATCCTAGTAACCACATTATACTGGCACAGCCAGTCATGGACTGACTTGAAAGACACCAAAGAGGCAAAAGAAAGTGAGTTTTTAAGAACTCCTTGAGCCGGGCTCAGTGGCTCAGCCTGTAATCCCGCGCCTTTGGGAGGCTGAGGTGAGTGGATTGCCTGAGCCCGCGGGTTCGAGACCCGCCTAGGCAGCAAGACCTCATCTCCACAATAAATCAAAAAATCAACCGGGTGTGGTAGCGCATGCCTGTAATTCCAGCTACTTGGAAGGCTGAGGCGGAAGGATCGCCGGAACCCAGCAGGTCGAACCTGCGGTGGCTGGGAGCGGCCACTGCACTCCAGTATGGGCGAGAGAGTGAGACTCCAACTCAAAAAAAAAAAAAGAACTCCTTGTTCCTCCATTTTCTACCTGCCAACATAACCAGGAACTCTTCTTAAATTCAAATTATAAATATCCATAAGCAAGATATAAGTTTATACAAACAAATCACCAAAAGTTAGACATGACAATGGTTTCTGAACCAGGCCCTGTAAGCAAACATTGTAGTTCTTTAATTTTGATTTTTCCATGTTCTCTTCCAGCCCATGTCTATATGTAGGCATGCATTCTTTTACTTGTACATGTTTGAAATCATAGCACAGATAGAATTTTGTGTTCTTTTTGTGTAATATTATATCTATTTTTTCCATGTTGCAAACATCTTACCATTACTTCTCATCCATTTTTTAAAAATTTAAAATAACAAAAGAAAGACAATACTCTGGGTTATTTCCACCTCTCTAGAGACAGAACTTTTAATAGCCACATAATATTCTCTTGAGTGAGGGCACTACAATTTATTTAACCATTTTCTCCTTGTTAGAATGGTTCTATTTTTTTTTACAACAATGAGTCAGTGAATATGTGAGAATGTTAAGGCTCAGCAGAGTGACAGTGCTGGATGTATCCTTAAGCCTGCCTGGTTTTCCAGTGAAACCAGTAGCTACTGTAAATCTATGCTATCTTAGAAATGTGTGATTCTGCAACTTCAAATGATAGAATTTGTGCTGAATCAAACCATAGACATAGTTCCCTTCAGAAGATTCTCATTTCTCAATTGTTTTTAAGAGAAGAAACCCAATCATTGAGGGGAAGGGAGGTGTGAGTGCACACATGCATGTGTGTGGCTGTATAAATGGTGATAGATACAAAGATAAATAACTAACTCTCAACTGGGGGGATTTTATCCCCTAGGAGCCATTTGACAATGCCTAGAGCATTGTTGGTTATTACAATTGGGGGAATGCTACTGGCATCTAGTGGGTAGAAGCCAGTGCTGCTGCTAAGTATCCTACAGTGTTCACAACAAAGAATTATGTAGTTTAAAATGTCGATGGTGCTGAAGTTGAAAGATCTTGAGATCAATGATAGATGGATAGATAGACGGATACTGACAGATGGGTGTTGGGCAGAAGACAGTGTGAAGCTTAGGCAAACTTGAAGATGATCAGCTTATATCACACACCTAGTATGGTGCATGGGAATCGAGCTAGACAAGAGCCAAAATACATGGTTGTTCTCAACAGTGACTTTACTTAGCAGTATGGTCTTGGGCATATCTCCTTCCTCCCCCATGTCTTGATGTCCATGACTTTAAATCAGCCAGGTTAGATTAGATGGCCTTCAAGGATGCTTCTTAGTGCTGAAATTCTATTGTATTAGAAAAGCAACCAAAAGAGACATCATCAGAGTCTGAGAAGGGGTGAACAGCAGGCTTCTAAAGTTAGAGAAAAGTATTCCTGATAATTCCATGGATTTCAGAGACTGGCTCAGGGCCAGGAATATGGTAGGCTATAAATCCATAGCATGTTATAGCATTTCAGGATGATGTCAGGCTCAAGCTATTTTACCTTTTAAGAGAAGCAATGAAACAGTACTGGGGCCCAAGTGCTGTCACTCTGTGGAAAGGGTTGAGTTGGGAGGGGATGAGGTAAAACAATCAAGGTTAGCCTGGACATTAAGTCTGCAACCCTCTCATCATCCCTGGAATGGTCCTGCCCTCTGTTGCCTTAATGTTGACGCCCATGGAGAGATAGAGAATCACTGGCACTGTGGTAGCTGTTTATTTTAGAGCTCACCAAAGATGCAAAATCAATTTTACAAGATCACAAGGCCAGTATGAATCAGAACAGGCATTATACCCCCATGTAAGATTAACTCCAGGCACTCTCCAGGCTGCCTCCTCCCCATCCTGAGAGATGTTGATCATAAACAATTTCTCTGCAGTAGCCCCAATTTATTAGAACCATATATATTTTTTGTCCCTTTTCTGCTGTTATGTCATGATCCCTGGAAAAATCTTGGGTGGGAAGGAGATTAGGTTTCATATGATGATTGACAGAAAATAATTGAGAAAGATTTCCTGTCTCAATTTCTCTTCCTCCCTGCCTCTGCCTGCCCTTCTCACACCCACGTGCATGTGCACTCCCACACACCCTCTCATACATCTTTACCTTTGTGTTAAAAGGCTCTGAGCAGTTCAAATTGCTCAGAAATCCAGAAATTGCATCTCAGAAATCTAGTTCTGCAGTGACCCTTGACATGGAGACAGAGCCCTCTTTCAGGCTTGAGGCCTCAGAAGTAGACTCTGGGAGCCCCTTGACTGAGTAGGCTCACCATTCCTGTGGTTCATTCTGAGACAAAACTCCCCCCATGCTTGTGCCAGGCTTGCCAGTTCAAATCAACAAGGCCCTACTTCCTCACCATTATTTTGTCAGATGCTTCTCTGCGCTTGAAGTCTACATATAAGGTTCTCAGACCTCAATTTAATCTTCCCCAAACATGTTTGAATTTTAGAGTTGACATATCTTTTTGCCAGCCTTTGTGCAGCTTTCCAATGCCTATATGAACATGGAAGATGTACTACCAATTGTTTCTGCTGAGTTCTATCTTCCCAATGCTTGGCTTGTGGTGTAGACCATTGCTTCTCAAACCAGAATGTACAGACAAGTCATTTGGGTTCTTGTTAAAATATGGATTGTGATTCTGTATGTTTAGGGCACAGCCTGAGGTTCTGCATTTCTACTAAGCCTCAGGTAATCATACTACTTGTCCTCAAGCAGGTAAACAGCTAGCAAAACACTTGATGTACAGCTGGTGCCATTCCAGCTGCTTACACGGGATTGTCAGACCCCACAAACTTCTTTAGATGAGTTAGTGTTCAGCAAACATTTAATGGCATCCAATATCTTGGGTCCTGTGATAGGCATTAAAGGCCTGGCTTGGGAACTCAAGGATCTTAGACATAAATTCTACTTCCATGCTCACTGTTGATCCTGGCCAGTTATTTCACCTCTTTGTGAATCAGTACTGCTCCCATTGAGTTGTGAGGTGATTAAGTGAAATTATACACACAATATACTTAGCACAGGGTCTTAGGATACATAATAAATGCTGAAGAAACACTGTTTAGCATGACCACAGTTATAATGGTGAGTGTAACATGCTTCTTGCTTCATGAGTGTTCTTGTTCTTAAGAGTATTAGAAATGGCCAGGCTCGGTAGCTCAGCCTGTAATCCCGCGCCTTTGGGAGGCTGAGGGGAGTGGATTGCCTGAGCCCACGGGCTCGAGACCCACCTGGGCAGCAAGACCTCATCTCTACAATACATCAAAAAATCAGCCGGGCATGGTAGCGCACACCTGTAATTCTGGCTACTCGGAAGGCTGAAACGGAAGGATCGCCGGAGCTTAGCAGGCGAGGCTGCGGTGGCCGGGAGCGGCCACTGCACTCCAGTCTGGGTGACAGAGTGAGACTCCAACTCAAAAAAAAAAAAAAAAGAGTATTAGAAGTGAAGAGGTGACGTACAGAGATGCTAATTAACTTGCTCAATGTCACAGTTAGTGAAGGGAAAATGAGAACCAGAAACAAGATGCCTGAGTCTGAAGGCTTCATTTAGACAGGAATAAGTAGAATATTGTAAGCCAGGGCGTGCTTTACTTTCTAAGAAAGAGGTTGCAGCAGAAAGGTCTACCAGCCCAGAAATCAGAGTTGCTAAATTATAATTATTGCTCTCCTTTTAAGTAGTTTGGAATCCCCTTGGGTAAGTCCCTTCACCGCTTTAGGCATTGATGTTTTCACCTGAAAACGAAGGGATTGTACAAAATGACTGCTGAGATTCCTTCCAGCTTTGATAACCCATGACTCATGTCACACATTGTAACAGCTCTCAGAACAGTGGATTCATAGGTTGGAGAAGCTTGTGGCTATTTGGGGCAGCATCCCTTTATTCTTGATTGATTGGGGTCCCTTGCACCAGGAAGCAGAGTGCCCAGCTTACCTAATGCTCTGGTTTTTCCCTTACAGGTGGCATTGTCTTGAACCCATCTTTCTACGGCATTCCTGGGCACACTCACACCATGATCCATGAGATCGGCCATAGCCTGGGTCTCTACCATATCTTCCGAGGCATCTCAGAAATTCAGTCCTGCAGTGATCCCTGCATGGAGACAGAGCCCTCCTTCGAGACTGGAGACCTCTGCAATGACACCAACCCAGCCCCCAAACACAAGTTCTGTGGTGACCCAGGGCCAGGGAATGACACCTGTGGCTTCCATAGCTTCTTCAACACTCCTTACAACAACTTCATGAGCTACGCAGGTAGGTCCTACTCCCCACAGGGTGTCCAGGACTAAAATTCAACCATGGGTTGCAGTCCTCGTTCAGGCTAGCCTTGAACAAATATTTTACCTTTTCTAAGACCCTAACAGTTGGAATAATATTCCTATTGTGAGCACCTTGGGAGTTCAAGGAAGATGTTATTTGTCAAAATTCCTCAGAAAGACACACTTTAGGGAGATGACTAGGACTAAAATTTAGGAAACCCAGGAGGAAGGCCTATCTCTGCCACTCGACCACCTAATGCCTTTGGGTCATCATCTCCCTGGGTCTCACTTTTCTAAGCAAAATGATCCCCAAGATCCCTCCTAATTGTGCAGCTTTATTTTCCTAAGCTGGTGGTTGTTTAATCTTTTTTTATTTAACCAATGTTTTCCTTAGATAAACATAAAAATACCTCTCACATTCTCCTTTACTTTTTTTTTTACAAAAACAAAGAGAATATTTTTGATTTTGCAAATTCAAAATTATTACATGTGATTGGATATAGTATTTTTTTTTCCCCTACTAGCATATCTTATCATGGCCCTTTTGTATAGCATCACTAACTAACTGTTAAGGGCACTCTGGGATACCCTGTGCTTCCCTTTAGCACATGATACATTAAGGCCACTTTAAGCCCTTTTAGCACTTTTGGCAAATTGGAACAAGACATTCCTTCCTCAGGGCTATCACAGCCCTCACTCCTGGTCCTTTCAACCAATAATTTTTGTGTAAGGCACAATCCACACAATTGCATGTGGCAGTCCAGGGTCAAATTCTATTTAGACACTCAATTTCATGTCTCTTTTCCCACTAAAGCAAGCAAATTCTGTCAAGGCAAGGTATCTAATATATCACTGTATTCCCAAAAGCCAGCACAAGAGCTGATGCTTAATAAATGTTTCTAGGAAAGAAGAAAGATAAGAAAGAAGCAGAGAAGGCAGAGAGGATTGGAGGGAAGGATAGAGAAAAATGAATCTTATAACAGGTATATAAAAATGGAGTCCATGTAACAATTTATTACTTTTTTAAAGACTTTAATATGCTCCACCTCATTTAATTCTCACAACAAATCTATGGAATAGGAACTATCCCATTTTTCAGATGACAATACTGAGACTCACTGAAGTCACTTACCCCAGGTCACACATCTGACTCCAAATATTTACATCTTTTACTCTTGTGCCACTCTTCAAAAGAGAGCTAGCTGATGGTAGAATGGTGATATTGAGCAACCTGGGTATTTTTTATGCTCTATTCCACAGAGATGTCTTGGGGACTGCCCCAGTGTCCATGTGACTGGGGGGCTGTAAGCCCCCACTTTTTTTAGAATCAGGGAACCTCCCTTCCAACTATTTTACATTTCTGTTAGAGTTTTGCTTCATTGCATTTGAAAACCCAAAGGATTCTGTGATCCCTAGTGGTTCTTTCTGCTTTTCCATTCAGGTGGATGACTTCTGGGGGCCTTTTCAGTACAAGGTTCATGCTTTCCAAACCTGAGGTCTCTTGAAATGTCAAAATCCAGCTCTGGTACAATAAAGAGTCTTTAGATTTGGATCGCTTTTTTTTAAAAAAAAAGGCAAAAGTGATGGGTATTTCCTCAAAAACAGATTCCCACTGGACTCCCATTCCCAGCCAAGCTGACACCCTACATCCGGTTCCCTGTTCCCTCCTACAGCCCTGCTTACGTTCCATTTCTGTAGCACCTTTTCTTGGCCAGCTCAACGCACATGGAAAATAAACAATAACATAAGTTTGGAAGTTTGCCGACTTCTTAGGGGCCTAGGAGCTGCCACTAGCTACCAGACCCCCATAAACTAAATCTTTTTTTTTTTGTTCCCCTTTGTACAGATCTAAGGGGTGATTGATTTACTGTTGTTTTTTTAAAGGAACCCCTCAGCTCAGTGACCCATTAACAGCAGAACTAATTCACTGAGCTACGATAACAAACTTACACCCGCAAAAGCATATTCAAGGCGACCACGAGCTTTGAAATGTTTGTTTTCTTAGGATTTCTGATAGATGAGGTGACAAAAGCAGCTGGATAAAATTCAAAATGCATAACAGGATTGGGTTCTCAGAAATGGGGGGAGCAATGCACTGGAACTCCCCAGGCAAGGGTAGAGACGTTGCTGGGTCAACTTTTTCCAGTTGCTTTTCCTTCCTGGGTGCTTCTTCTCAGGCCTGGTCACTAGTAGGGCAAAAGGTCTTAGTATGGTACTGTCAACATAACTTGCAAAGATGGACATGGTTTGTGTCTGTGCTGTCCAGTGTGGTGGCCACTGGCCATATGTGGACATTGAGTACTTGAAGTACAACTAGAGCAACTGAGAACCTGAATTACCAGTCTTTAAATTTTTTTTTTTTTGAGTTGGAGTCTCATTCTATCGCCCAGACTGGAGTGCAGTGGCTGCTCCCGGCCACCGCAGCCTCGACCTGCTGGACTCTGGCGATCCTTCTGCCTCAGCCTTCCGAGTAGCTGGAATTACAGGCGCGTGCTACCACACCCGGCTAATTTTTTGATTTATTGTAGAGATGAGGTCTCACCAAGTTGCCCAGGCGGGCCTCAAACCCGTGAGCTCAGGCAATCCACTCACCTCAGCCTCCCAAAGGCACGGGATTACAGGCTGAGCCACCAAGCCCGGCTTGATTAATTTAAATTGAAATAGTCACACGTGTCTAGTCGCTACCATACTGATATAACTGTGATGTGCCAGACTTTCATGAAATTCTTTATAGGCTTGTCTCAATGAATAACCCAAGAAGGTAAGCACTGTTAATATCACACAAATTTACAGAAACAGAGACAGAAAGTATGGGTCAGGTAGCTTAAGTAACTTGTCCAGGGTCATAAGATAAAATAAGGCAAAGGTGAAACTTAAACCCAAGTCTTTCTTATAATAGAGCCTGTGTTATTAACCAGCAATTATCTGCCTCACTTTCTGATCCTGGGGAAGGTTGAGAGGGTCCCAAGTGCTTAAATCAAGCAGGTACCTGGCAGATGATGGGAGCAAGCCTAGTTCAGCAGGCTGAGCAAAGCACCAGGGGAATATGGTCATGTGAGCTGTTGGATACACTCTTGTTAGAGTAGCAGCAACCCTGACTCTATTTCTTGGAGATAATAAGCCATTTAAGGTTCTTTGAAGAGGACACTCCAGTCCTCAAGAGTGCAGGAAACCAGGCTTTCTTCAGCCTATAGAAGCAAGTGTCTTGATATCAGCTTTCTGTGTGTTGGTACCTCTTAACATGCCCACATGCATTGACACAGCAATGCCATCTGCAAGGCACACAGCCAAAGCAAGTAAATCAATTGATGTCTTCAAATAATTAGCCAAAAGAATGTTCTTAATATTTATTCTCAAAATGTTTGCTAGGTATTTACTATGTGCCAGGCATAAAATAAAAATATGTGTGAAATATTAGAAACTGATTATGCACCCAAAGATAATGAATTCCTGAAGTAAATGGCAAGGTATCCATATGACAGAACATAACATGGCCACTAAAAATAATGTAGAAGACAATTGAGGAGCATGAACAAGAGCAGAGTAACTTAGTGGTTCAGACCATGAAGTCTGGAGTGAATGAACCATGCTTGAATCTCCCACGTCCCAGCCTTTGATCCTAGGCAAGTTACTTCTCCTCCCTGTGCCTCAGTTACCTCATCAACACCACAAAGGATAAATGTACTCACCTTGCATAATCATACAAACAAAGGATTCAGAACTGTCCTTGATAACATAATTAGTGCTCAATAAATGACAATAAGTAGGATTATTTCTTAACTATTTAGTGTGAAAAAGGTCACAGAGCCATATGTAGAGTGTAAGACCTGTGTATATGTATATGATGAGAATTACAGAAATTCACTATATATACTCCCATCCATGTACACATAAACACACACACACGCACAAACACACACACACACACACATACTAGCATTAATTGTGTTATCTACAGGTAAATTGGTTGGGAGTGATGTTTATTTCTTTATAACATTTTTTGGCATGTTTCAGATGTTCTATAATGAATATCTGTAACACTCATAATCATTGATTATTATGACTGTTATATCATTATTATTACTTTAAAACAACAAAAAGGGGCTTTTTCAAAAGGCAACCACTGAGTTATCTATGCAGTAGACATGAGTTTGCTTGTTAAATGCTCTTGTCCGCTTTATGAGGCAAATAGCATCATTATTCCTCATTTTACAGTGGGTGAAAGTACTTTCTGTGTAGGGACAAGATGGGGACAGAAGAACTGGATGAGCTGACCAAATGAAGTGGCCACAGATATTGGAAGGGGAGACATTTGAAGCAAAAAGCCAAGTGGGGCTACTCTAGACATTAGCTAATTGAGACAAAGCTTTGTGATAAATGAAAACTTTCTGGTTCCTCACAGAAGATTCTGATAGCAGCTAAGTCTCTAAGTGATGTACCCTAGGACAAATGTTTTCCACTTTCAACTTTAAAGGGCAAATACATTCCTGTTCCCCTAGTAGGTTCTATTGCCTATCCATTTTTAAATTATTTTTTTATTGAATTTTTCATATTTATGAAAATGGTTTATGTTTTAGTTATAAAGTAAAATATGCTTATTTTGAGGGGGAGAAAAAAATCGAAGTTTATAGAGGAAAAAAATACTATTTTTTTTCATCCTCATTCATCTTGATAGTGGGTTTATGTGTTCTAGTTCATTGAATCCTTACAACTATATGGGGTGGAGCTGACTTAAATGTCCCCAATTAATATATGAGGGAAGTGAGTCTTAAGGTTATTTCCTTTTTTTGTTCATACCTGATTAGTATTCTGTTCTATGCCTGTTCCTTAAAGTACACAATTGATTCCCTATTAATGAACAGATGTGTTATTTCTAATATTTTTAATATTATAAATGATGTGTCAAGAAACATCCTTGTACATGTATTCTCCCCATGTTTGTCCAAGAGTATCTGTCTTTTTAATTTATAAACTCGTTATTGCTAGATCAAAGAGAATGCATATTTTACATTCTGTTTTTTTTCTGCTTCCAGTTTTCCAGCACTCACACATATATGAGCACAAACACACATATCACAAACACACACTATTCCCAGTGATGAGATAGTAAACATTTAGTAGCCTTAATCATGGTACAAACATTGTTCTTAGTGTTCTGTGCCCCTTCATCTTGGCCATGTTTTGAGATGAACAATCTTGTTATCATCACTGTCTCCACTTTACAGACAGGGGAAGCTGAGGCACTGGGGGCATTAAATCATTTGCCAGGTTGACTTCAAATTCTGCATGCACTAACTACATTGTCATACTTCTTTCCTTAGCCATTGTGCTCTTCTTTTGCAGCTAACCTATTCTCAGTGGTTTTTCTAAGGTTTTCAAGATGAAGTACAAAGTTCATAGCAACAGAGAAGGAAGTACCCAGTGATCTAGCCACTTTCAGACTGAGGCCTTTGGACTCCAAGCAATGAGGAGCCATAGGATATTTGGTATTTGGGAGTTACATAGTGGATCTGGATTTGAAAAAGATTTACTTGATTCATCACTATTACACAGTGCTTGTTAAGGGATATCAGGTTTTTCTGCTTCCTCCAAATGTTTTAAAGACTTCCCTAGGGTGCTGGAAAGGAGATTGTCAAAAATTACTAAGGAGATTTAAGGCAGCTTCTGTGTATAACCTCCTCACAACCCTGTCCCTTCCCTAAGCTTGATTCTCAAGGTCATGTCCAACTGCCCAGCACCTGCCCAAATTTATCTTCTGTTTGTTTGATAAGAAGAAGTGAATGTATGCTGCTGGATTCCCAGTCGCGAGTTTATTTTAAGATCTGGTGAGCCCCGTGCTCCTTGTCTGGGACCCAGCTGTAGAAACCCTGACTAGGCGGACACCTCTGGGAAGTCATGTTTTTGGAAACCAAGCCAAAACAGTGTCTTGACTTGCCTCTGGTGCAGCTGAATAAAGCTGTTGGAGGGAGAAATGGGAGGCAAGCTTCTTCCCTGGGGGCTGGGTTTTGGGTCACTGCCTTCCGTCCATACCCTGTAATAGAGAGGGTAGGATTGAAGGTCATTAGATCTAAAGACACCTGAGAGATTGTGTTCCAAGCCCCCTCAGACTCAGGCTCAACTCCCATTTATCAGCCACCTGCAGGATATTATACACATACAAGGTCTCAAGTATGCTGAGAAAGTTTTTAGATTGATGAGAAGAATGGCCTTGGAGTCAGGACTGCCTGAGTACAAATCCCAGATGTATCCCTAGTTCTGTAACTTTGGAAAAGCTGCCTGCCCTCTCAGCCTCAGTTTCCTTCTTTGTAAAATAAAGAAAATATGTACTCCAAAAATAGTGCAAAGGGAAAGGTTAAGTGTATCTAAAGTAGAGTGCACTGTGCCTGGCTCATACTAAGCATGCAATAAATGTCCCAATGACAGTACTGTATGAGAGTTGTTATTGCTCATGCTTCAGCATGCACACTACCTTGGAGTGTCCCTGGGTCTTCCAGACTCCTCGGCCTGTGCTGTCTGCATAAGACACCGAGACTCTGTAGTCATGTAACTCTAGCTCCTTCTCTTGCAATCCCCCCGCTTTCTTTCCTGATCTTAGCCATGCAATCTGATTGATCTCAGGTACTTGTACTTCCTTCTTCAGACACCCTTCTGGTTCACCTCCCTTGCCCCACATATTGTCTTCCTGCTTATCAGTGGTTGACATCAGAGACTTTAGCAGCCTAGTAACAGCCTTGACTCTATAACTAGACTGGTAGCTCTTCAAAGGCAGGCACGTTTTAAGTTTCATTTTTCCATGCCTTTGGCACAGAGTAGAGAAGATACAGTAGACACACAAAAGGTTTGTTTGAAGGGCAACATCACTGCATCAGCGAATAACAGAATTAATGTGTGGATGAATGAATGTGAAGGAATAAGTTGAAATTAATGAACACACGAATGAGTGGATGAATTAGTGGATAAACAAGTGAACAAATGAGTGAGAGGTATTGAATGAGGAGTGAGTGAGGTAGGGAGTAAGGGAATTTTTGACTTGGTGACCAGTGGATTTGGGGCCCATGAAAAGCAACTGGTCTTATCCATGTTTCCTGCCTTGAGTTCTGCACTGCTCTCTCCCCAGTCTCAGGCATACTTTTTCAGTTCCATCCACCCTCCTCTTTCTCCTGTTTCCTCTCACCTGTCTCCAGAAGAGATGACTATCCTAATTTGTTCACAGACCATTAACTCTTGAGCCCTGGAAGAGGCCAGCCATGAGTTGGCAAGAAAGGATTGAGGTGCCGGCTCCATGGTCGCCAGGAGACGTCATAACTCTCTCACATGCCCGCCCCTGTGGCTCAGTGCTTATCTCTTTCTCTGCCTGCTTGCAGATGATGACTGTACAGACTCCTTCACACCCAATCAAGTCGCCAGAATGCACTGTTACCTGGACCTGGTGTACCAGAGCTGGCAGCCCTCCAGGAAGCCAGCGCCTGTTGCCCTCTCCCCCCAGGTTGTGGGCCATACAACAGACTCCATGACGCTAGAGTGGTTTCCACCCATCGATGGCCACTTCTTTGAAAGGTGAGTGTGTCCTGTGAAGTACTGATCGCTCTTCTGCCAAGAAGAGGGAAACTGGGAAGGGAGCAGAATTCCTTGGAGAGGAATGTTGCTGTTTCTTGTTCTTGTTCAGAGGGTACCACCCACCACCTAGTACCATGATCTGCACATACAAGCACACTGTAAATTTTGGGTCAGGGAATAAATGAGTGATTGCTAATAGAAAAGAATAACTAATGATATTTTTAAATTTTTTTATTTTAAAGATATGGTGTACAATTCAAAATTAGGTAGATAAGTGATCATCGTATAGATAAAGTTTGGGATTTTAAAGTGAATGCTTATTTAGGTTGACTTTGTTATTAGAAGTGTGGCAATCTCTATTGCTGGAAACCTCTGTTCTTATCTCCATGAGCTCAGCAGTTAAAATTGCCTTTAGTTAATGAGCAAAACTGTATTATATTATGTTATATATTATATTATATTATATATGAGTATATATTTATTATATGTATTATATTATATGTATTATATGTCTGTATTCATACATAGGCAAAGAATATATACACACACATATATATATAATATATAATCACAATCTTTGTCTATGCCAAGTATCTTTTGTAGAGTTCATGGTAGAATTTTAGAAGACCAGCGAATGATATACTGAGGCATAAGATACTTCTGTTCTGCTTTCCTGTCTGTTTACTAAATAACTATTTGACCTTGGACCAGTCACTTTCACTATCTGTCTCTGATTCTTCTCCCCGTGAAAATTGGGTCTAATGATGCCCCCATGGCCTGAAGGTGGAGACCTGAGTCAAATGGTCTCTTGTGGTTCCTTTCTTCATGGAGACTTCTTAAGGAACTCAAGATTTAAGTGAACCAAATCTAAAGAGGTCATGAAAATACACCAAGATGTTTGTATCTGTTTTGGAACTTTGCCATGATTCAGAGGAAGATTGGTATATTACCCTACCCAAGCCTTTCTTGAGGATGTTTCATCTAGTAGTGGTTATATAACATTAATGATGGTTAAAATAATCATGCTTATAATTAATTAGAATTACTCTGTTGTAGTTGCCACTGTAGATCAATTGCTTACTATGTAACAGATTCTGTACTAAATCCTTTATATACAGAATCTCATTTACTCTTTCCAGTAACCTTGTACAAAAGGGATCGTCTTCTTTATGTACCAGATAAGGAGAGAATTGGAGCTAAAAGAGGCTGAGAGATTTGACCAAAAGTCCATAGAAAATGGTTGGGTCTGGGCTCGAGTTCACATTTTTTAATACCTTGTCTCAGACTCTCGCATGCTTTCATTAAGTTGTTTCAAAACTAGAGTTACAAAGGAGGTGTTACACCTCCCCCAAAAATAAAGCCCCCAAAAAGGTGACAAAGAATTCTCATTTACAAGTGTGTTTGTCTGTGTTGGTGTGTATGTATAAAAAACATAGGAGACAAAGAACCTAAATGATACTCTCAAAAGAAGACACACAAATGATCAACAGATATATTAAAGATTTAAAAAAAGCTCAACCACAGTGAAAAATCATAACCACAGTGAGAAATTATCTTACTCCTAGAATGACTATTATAAAAAAGATGAAAGACAGTAAACATTGCCAAGGGTGTGAAGAAAAGGAAATTCTTCTGCACTTTGGTAGGAATATAAATTAATATAGCCATTATAGAAAACAGAATGGTGATTCCTCAGAAAACTAGAAATAGAATTACCATATTATCCAGCAATCCTACTTCTGGGTATATGTCCAAAAAATTGAAATCAATATGCTGAAGAAATATCTGCACTCCCATGTTTGTTGCAGTATTGTTCTCAATAGCTAAGATATGGAATCAACGTAGGTGTCCATCATCAGATGTATAGATAAAGAAAATGTGGTATACAAATGGTCTCCAACTTATGATGGTTTGATTTACAATGTTCTGATATTACAATTGTGAGGAAGCAACATGCATTTAGTATTGCTTTCAGTAATAAGATGGGATAAGCCCATCTTAAGTTAAAACTATGTTAAGTTGAAAATGTACTTTCAGCTGGGCACAGTGGCTCACACCTGTAATCCCAGAACTTTGGGAGGCCGAGGCAGGAAGATAACTTGAGTCCAGGAGCTCAAGACCAGCCTAGGCAACATAGCAAGACTTCATACTTACAAAAAATAAGAAATAAAAATAATTGGGTGTGGTGGCATGCAACTGTAGTCCCAGCACTTTGGAAGGCTGAGGTGGAAGGATCACCTGAGCCCAAAAGGTCAAGACTGTGGTGAGCTGTGATCCTGCCACAGCACTACAGCTTGGGAGAAAGAGTGAGACCGAGACTAAAAAATAAACAAACAAACAAATAAAAACAAAAAACAAAAAATGCACTTTCTTTTTTTAATTAAATGTTATTATAGAGAGGTGGGATACAAGTAAGCATTAACTACACATGTAGGCTGCATGCAGGTGAAGTTTGGGCCTCCAACTAACCTTCATTCCGCTGGTATAGGACCAGGTACTCTTTGTGTTGTTACATGCCTCCCTTCCTCCCTCTCTCCCCTAGCAGTGCCCAGTGACCGTCAAACTTTCTCTTGTGCTAATGTGTTTAATGTTCACATCTCACTTATAAGTGAGAACATGCAGTATTCAGTTTGTTGTTTCTGTGATGGATCACGAAGTGTGATGGTCTCCAACTCCATCCAATTTGCATGAAGTCTATGATTTCGTTCTTCTTTATGGCTGTGTAATACTCCACCATGTATATGTACCACATTTTCTTTATCCAGTCCACTTTCAAGGGGCAATAGGGTTGGTTCCATGTTTTTCTTTTCTTTTCTTTTCTTTTTTTTGAGTTGGAGTCTTACTCTGTCGCCCAGACTGGAGTGCAGTGGCCGCTCCCGGCCACCGCAG